TTTGATTGAATATTAAAATTTCACATTCAAGGCACTAACTTGAATTGCGTCGAAATGCCAAGGTAACTCACAACTCACCTGCAAATGGGGGTCCAACAACATTACCAATACCTAAATGAAGTAAATACCAACCCATCGCGCCAGATAAATTGTCTGTGCCGAGACAGGTTTTCAAAGATACAGCGCTGTGAAGAGGGATAGCAATACCATTACAGAATCCGTATAGCGCCGCCGCCGATGCATATACTGCATAGTTGACATCTACGGCGACAATAACTATGATTGATGCACAACATCCACAATATGCACAAGCAGCAACGAACATTGGAGAAACGTACCCCAAACCCACAAACCAACCGTGCGTTGTACTTCCAATCACAGTACATATGCCAAGAACCGTCATTAATAACGACGAATCGATTTTAGGTATTCCACCAGATACTGCACTGTTCACTAAATGAACCAGTATTATGAGGTGAGTGAAACCAACTAATAGTACAGTAACACACAGTATTCGGAACCAAGAATTGGTAAATAAATGCAACGCAAGCCGATCAGCAATTTTCTTTCTTGTTGTAACTGTCGTATTGATACTTGTACTGTCCATATTCTCGCTGTCCCCAGACTCCTCGATCGACTCATTTGTTGAATGTAAATCACACACATGTTCATCAGCGATTGTCACGGCACAGTTTGCATCATCCGCTGTGTCATTTCTTTCGTCCACGTTTGTTTTCCGTACTATATTTCGGCGGTGGTCTCATTAACATTCCACATACAACCATATTCATATTGATTCCAGCCATTACAGTCATTGCTCCCTTCCATCCGTATTTATCAATTAACGTCTGATACAGAGGTGGAAATACCATTATGCCGACACCGAATCCAGCAAAGACGATGCCATTGGCTAGTGCGTGTCGTTTGTGGAAATACTGTCCCACGATCACGATACCAGGTCCATAAGTAAGTGCAAATGCGAATCCTGAGTTTATAAAACAACAACATAAAATATCGACTATATATTGAATATCGGAATATTTATATACAGTACCAAAATAAATAAAATCACCTAAATAAGTGTAATATCTTGTGTTTCACACACTTTTGGAATAAATGCCGCTGATTTGTTATGATCTCTCAATATGTGGCACACATAGTGTAAGTCTATATACTTGTGGAAGGGTTACTGATTCTGCTTAATAATTGCTATTAAAGGACTAAATCACGGGGATTTGGTTGGGATACGATTCCATAATCTGATATATAAATGTTTCTACTACAAAACAGTATTACTAGTTCAACAACATTGTACACCAGATTGTATATACACTGTACTAGTAATACAATAAATGAACACCCCAAAGTACGTGATAAGTACATGTATATTTCTTACACAAATATGACTAATAAGTCTTGGTTTATCTTGCCTAATACAAATACTAACAAGTTTCTAGCTTTTAAACTTTCCGCAAGTTTCGTTTTTATTATTCACTTGACTGTATGCGGGCGTGTTTAAAAGAGCAAGCGACAAACGCCAAGCACGCAAACTCATTCAAGAAAACATCGGTATCTGGGAACGTAGCACTACAGTCAGTTACCCAAACCCGAACCCGAAAATGAGTCACAATCCGAAGCAGATGATAACTACAAAAACATAGAAACAGTTCTTACCAACGACAACGCCATGAGTTATGAGAAGTACATTAACACTATTGGCAAATGTACTCAATAAAATACCAGCACTGGATAATACTCCACCAATAACTACTAATGGTCTAGTTCCAAATTTATTATTCAAAATGCTGATTAAGGGACCTGTGGGATGACAAATAGAAATGGATGAGAACGTGACATTAAACTCAAGATAAAATAACATAAAATAATGAACTGGCGATCAGTCTAAAAGTAATTTACAAATATTTGAAATTATTCCTGCACTAAATGTTAATTCATTAGTTAGGTTAATGTTTGCATCGGATATTTATACGGAAAGATTTGGAACAGATTCTTTGAGAATATATGTTAAAGGATTGATCATCAAAAATTAATGTTTTCAGAAATTCCTAATAATTGGTTTCAATCATGTGTGCCCTTATGTTATTGTCATTGAAATGTCACTACATATGTGTCTTAAAAAAAAAAATTATGAAAAAGTTATTGAAAAGGTTTAAAATAAAATTAGATAATGTTCACTAAAAATATAAGCTTTAAATTTCGTTTCAAAATGTCAGTGCTCATAGCATTACGAATACCAAACGATAACTGGTTTGACACGCAAACAGAAAAAAAGCTCTTTGAATAATTATATAATTTATTAAGTTTGTCACACAGAGAAACTAATTTTAAATTCTCGACTGAGCGAAAATTCTGACGTGGGACGTAAAGGTAAAATATTGTGGAGCAATATGCCTTTGATGATTTTGAATGTTACTAAAACAATTTTTTTAATGAATACGACTTTCAACTTGGAGCAACGCGATAGCCACTAATGGGATGTGGCATGTTTGGCAGTTTGTATTTGGTGTTGCAACAATCGTACTGTAACGAGTCTCTCGTTGGTACTTATGCCGAGTAGTTTGCCGATCTTGCGAATTTTGTGAAATGAGTATCACGGGGAAAGTTTCTTCTCTCTGGGGTTCTCCACACGTGTCAGGGGTGAATCTCGTCTGGGCTCTCTATATCGCGTCCCCTTGAGGTGCGGGATCGGGAACGTCACTTAAACTTTACAGTCAAATAGACGCACACAACAAAATACGTTTCAACTCTCGTCTTTAGTCGGTCAGTCGAGCACTCTATAAGACACAGTGTCCTGGGGAAAAGTCCCCAAGACTATCGCAAGGTTGACCCAAGACTAGCCCAAGACTAGACCCTAGACTCTCCAAGACTTCGTCTCTCCTCGTGTACTCGCCAAGACCAACTAAAACAACTTTATTCACTTTCAAAATTTTAACCAATTACAAAACAGTATAAAGACTCTCGGGCGTAACCTTCAATCATACAGCCAATCACACTAAGTACTGAACAAGTCATATCTTTTGATTAATCGTTCACTATATTAATAACTGCGAATACCAACTGTCAGAAATAGTAGTCCGAATAGCGACGGTTATCTCGTAATTAGTTCCAAATCACTGAGCCAAGTTCCGTCCAGAACCTCACATGGGCCTAAACGATGACAGACATAACACAGCCATTCGCTAGTAATCAACTAAATAAGTCGATCAACAGATACGTGCAAACAATTTCATCATATGAGCAACAAGCATTCAATCAATCAATCAATCAATCAATCAATCAATCAATCAATCAATCAATCAATGTCATGAATACCATGCTCGACACATTTTCCGTCTATATTTTTGTACTTTTATATATGACCATAACCCATGATGATGTCCTCCGACTGTGTTGTTTACAGGGTGAATAATATTTGCGTTAATACAGATCACTGTGGAAACACACCATTTCATAATGAACTATGAAATGTAATATACATGTATCAGCGAATACAAATATCAACTGGCATCATGCGACAGGCAAACGAAATCGTGCGTTCAATGGCATCGTGTTTGATGCTCCCAATTGATTTATTACTGCATTTGTACTTATATTGGTAAACCCCTGATTTAAGGTAGCGGGACTATTATTTGCATACTTGTTTTCATCTTCTAATTGTGACTAAATGACTACAAATAGACCCGGGAAAGTATATATTTTTAGAATCGCCAGACTTCAAGCTTTTCACAAGTGTATTTTGCATGCCCGTATCTGCAATCTACGACGCGTTACTCAATCAAAGGTGAAAAATTACTTTTTCTGTAAAAAAAATAATTACGCATTTATGCTGGCGATAAGAAGTATTTTTTTCACTTTTCCTAGTTGTCCAATAGTCTGGTAAATTGAATGTGTCTGGTTAGTTTTATTCAAGCAACGCGTTTTAAAAAATAGTGTCCTGAATTTCAATTACTGTTTTAGTCGCATTGCCCCCAACTCAAACCACAACTCGTTGGTAAATAATCGATGAAATAGTTTGTCTGGACACATTCAAGTTCCTCTCATTGTCACCTTAAAGCTGTGAAAATTTGGTGTTAATCCGAC